CGTGCTGGAGAGATTCAATGGCGAAAGCTGCTCGACTGGCGCGCTTTCAGTTCTGTGCGTTCTCCTTGGCAGCATTAGGAAACAAACCCCCGCAGATCTCTTCAATTTTATCGTTCTGCTGGCAGTTTTGTATGGCTGTGAGACCTGGTCATTCTCAAAAACCAATGATCCTGAGCTATCTGTCACCTTGAGAGCAATGGAAAGAAGAATGCTGGGAATCTCACGTAGCGGTCATATCCCCAACACAGTGATCAAACAACGGCCGAGAGTGTAGGATTTTATCATCGATATCACTAGGGAGAAGCTATGGTTGTTCGGTCACGTAGCACGGCTCACTGAGCGCAACAAGGTCGAGATGATCATGAACTAGTATCTTCGCGGACGGTCTAAGACGCTTGTTCGCCCACCGTAACGTTGAAAAAGTTATTGTCAGGACTCAGGATCCTCGCACTTAGAGACGTATGGCTTGAAACCACGAGGAATGGCGGGTTTGTGGCATCCAACCTGATTCGTCGCCGATTGCCGGCCGGTGTACGTGATTTAAGTGGAGATATTCTAATTATTTCATATTTGGCCTGGTGCCGTCAGAATCCATTGAATTTTAATAAAAGTTCATAATACTTCATCGGGGTCGTTTTAATGACTTGGCTTCGTCTGACGTGCCGGCCGTTTTCAGCTGGTACACTGGTTATTTTATCATGTAACCTTGGACTGAATAGGTGGTTTATGCATACATTGTTTGGTCCGCTGTTGTAAGCATGTTTATTTTCATTCTCACTTCTCATCCAGAGTTAAGTTTTCTGGTGCCTATTTTCCTGATTTTTCTAAGTGCGTTTTATATCATGTTTCGTAATGATTTAATAGGTGTATTTTATCGTTTAGATAGTTAAACTTCGAATAAAGTGAAAACCATATGAGCTATCACTGTTGCAACAAATTATTTAATACCTACATCATATTTGGTGTACAGGTCCAAATGCTGTTTTCTGTTTTCATTGAGCATCTTCGTTATCATCGGTCTTCAGCGCAAGCATCAATGTTCGTTTTACTTTTATTCCTAATGATGATGTATTTCGAATAGTGCATGCTGAGTTGCAGCTGAGACAGCGAAATTGGAATTCGATATCCGTTGCTGTTTCTGTCTGAATCTTCTCTTTCGGAAGAAGTATTTGAATAAATTTTAAATATTTAAATAACTAAGGTAGAAATGAAAATATTTCAATGAGTCTAAGTGCCGTAGAACACTAATATGAAGTTGTGAAAGTTTTTTGACAATTTTAGGTGTAGATAAATTGTAAAATCTTATGACATGTTTTTATGTTAGTTTAATATTTTTAGTCTGAGGGATTCGATTCCGATGAATCTGAAGGCTTTATGGATGAGCCGGTTGCGCTAGACTCTTTGGTGAGCCCTTTTTCCTTAGCTGACGTCGACATCGAAAACCTTGTGCCCAATAAATTGCTACACAGGCACACGGAAAACGCTTTGGATAAAACCAGGTAATGAAAGCTGCCACGATTATAATGATGTTCTAATTCACCGTATTATCGATTATACATAGAATAAATCCATGAAAGT